CAATCATTGGGAGAGGCTTAAAGAATATGGCGAGAATAACCTGGTTACTGATTAATTAATTAATCCGTTCTCTTTTCAATTATTTTATTTCACAATTCAAAACCGTTCTCTTTTCAACGAAAAAACCTGTTCTTTCCCATTATTTATTTTCATAAATGAAAAGCGTTCTCTTTTCAACGAAAAAACCGTGCTCTTTTCGATTTTTTTTATTCCGTTCTCTTTTAATTACAAATTTTGACGTAATTATCAGACCGTTCTCCATTCTATGCAAATTCCGTTCTCTTTTCATTTCTTGTCCTTTTTTTTGTTGCATTTACCAAACAGAATAAAGCAAAAAGACGACCTTTTTCTGGTTTTTTACTAGTAATAATGAGCTCACATAGAAAGTCATTAATATTAGATAAAAATCCAACAGTAACAGAAACAAGTCATCATTGTTAGAAAAATATGAAAAGTTCTGAACTGTGATTTTTCTCATTTAAAATTTTATTAAGTAAAAAGAGAATGATAGAATTACATATGTATGAATTTTATTATATATTTTTTTTCTTCTTTCTTGACCAACCTGTTTACTTTACTCTCGATTCGTCCCTAATTGCTCTCTCTCAATTCGTCCCATTTTTTACTTATTAATTAATTATTATTCTCAATACTTATTCTGTATAAGTTCTCTTATGTTTACCTTAACTTTCAGAAATGAAAACAACAAAAGATTATTAATACATTAACTTTATTCCATATGAATTTTTACAGCTCTTCCGCATTTTATGACTAATTGTAGCTTTGTTAACTTTCGTTTTTTATGAGTGTCAAATTCAAAACTTTTGAATTTTTCATAAATTGTTGTTGTATCAATAATGATCTTACTTTTATCTTGTGTAGGCGACGGTTGTGCTTCATCTTTCATGATGATTAAACCTTGTGAACATAACGAAATGACACTTGTGCACTTACAATCTCTGCATCTCCATTTATTACTCGTCTTATTACATTGTTTTTCTGTAAACTGATAACCATTTAAATTCAGTACTGATTCACTTTTTTCGGTTTCTGTGAAACTTAACATTGCAAACTTCACTCATACGACAACTTTTGGTCAAATGTAACTTTCTATTATCTGCGTTAGACATGTTTTCGTACATATTTTTATTTAGTTTATTCGAATCAACATAGACGAAATTCTTGCTAGTTTGAAGAACACAAAGAGAACTTATGCAGAATAAGTATTTAAAAAATGAGACGAATTGAGAAAAAAATTTGTGGGACCAATTGAGAGAGAGCAATTAGGGACGAATCGAGAGGATACGATCTGTGTTAGTTTCTTGTCCATTGCTTCATTTTTAAATCAGTAGATTGAAAACAGGTAAAAAAAAAGAAATATAAAGTGAAACTCTATGACTGTAATCTCGATCGTCAAAAAAACATTTCTATATATATTATTAATGCTCGCTCATACTTAAATAAACTCATTCATACAGATTAATTCTATTTATACTTTATTCAAATAGAGTTAGACCAAGGAAGAAAAGTCTCGTAGGAATGTCATGACATTCTACTAAGAATAACATGTTCTTTTGTTCTAACGTGCTTTTATTCTCTCTCTCCTTGTCATTTCATTTCATTTCTCGCTAAACAGACTTCTTTCTTTCTCTGTGTGTGTGCCTGGACTTTCATATGTTATTGTTTGGCTCTTTTTTTCGTATCAGATTCTTTATTCAGGATTACATTGTATCGAGGGACTAGAATGACATGACATTCCTACGAGACTTTTCTTCCTTGGTCTAACTCTATTTGAATAAAGTATAAATAGAATTAATGTGTATGAATGAGTTTATTTAAAAAGTATTAAGTACACGTCTTGTTCAATATATTATTCATAAACTTTATTTTTTTTTGTTGAAACTAAACAATTTATAATTATATTCTTTATTCTTTAAACGTGTTTATTTCTATTGCACTTCGATTTTATTTTAATGGATATTCAAGAACCTTCTAACGTATCTGATCTTCCAGACGATGTTCTTAAATTTTCAAATGATAAATTTTTTAATTATATACGTTTAGTAATTGGTGAAGCAGCTGTAAAAATCTTTGAAGCACAAGAGATAAGAAATAATGCAGTATTGGCTAC